CCATTGCCGGAAACTAAACCAGGTCTAAAACCAGGTCTAAAACCAGGTCTAAGTCAGGTCTAAGTCCAGGTCTAAATCCAGGTCTAAAACCAGGTCTAAAACCAGGTCTAAACCAGGTCTAAAGGTCTAAAACCAGGTCTAAAACCAGGTCTAAGCCAGGTCTAAACCAGGTCTAAATCCAGGTCTAAACCAGGTCTAAAACCAGGTCTAAATCCAGGTCTAAAACCAGGTCTAAATCCAGGTCTAAACCAGGTCTAAATCCAGGTCTAAAACCAGGTCTAAAACCAGGTCTAAATCCAGGTCTAAATCCAGGTCTAAAACCAGGTCTAAAACCAGGTCTAAAACCAGGTCTAAAACCAGGTCTAAACAGGTCTAAAACCAGGTCTAAAACCAGGTCTAAAACCAGGTCTAAAACCAGGTCTAAACCAGGTCTAAAACCAGGTCTAAACCAGGTCTAAAACCAGGTCTAAAACCAGGTCTAAACCAGGTCTAAAACCAGGTCTAAAACCAGGTCTAAAACCAGGTCTAAAAACCAGGTCTAAACCAGGTCTAAACCAGGTCTAAACCAGGTCTAAACCAGGTCTAAAACCAGGTCTAAAACCAGGTCTAAACCAGGTCTAAAACCAGGTCTAAACCAGGTCTAAAACCAGGTCTAAACCAGGTCTAAACCAGGTCTAAACCAGGTCTAAACCAGGTCTAAAACCAGGTCTAAAACCAGATGTAAAACCAGGTCTAAACCAGGATTTAACAGGACTAAACGATGCCGCGCAGACCGTGTCTCTTCTTCTATCAATAATATTTTTAATTTGGTTAAGTAAAATCTGGCCTTTTTATTTTCTTTTATCAGACAAAACATCTTATGTTACAATATCCTCGTCTTTGCTTCTCTACAGTAAATCAAGTAATCCAAAGTATTCAGATTACGTTACTCACTTTAAGTAATTTAATGGATTCCGTCACAAACTACATTCTGAGGTATGTAATCTGTAATCTGTAGGGGATTACATTTTAAAAGTCACCTTCCCAACACTGCAGGAAGTGCACCGTTAACTTTGGACCACTACAAATCAAACAAATTAAAACGAACAAGCTCTTATTGTGACAGAGCAACCAAAAAACAAAAAAAACAAAAACAAAACTACGTAATTTATTTATGATGGAACTAGCAGATGTTTGGACCAGACCCCGGCTCGCTTCCTGAAATTAGCCGAACAATTGCTTGACTAAATAATGCAGAGGTGTCCTGGAGGATTGGACAGTGAGTTGTGTCCTAATTGACTTGTTGACAGCGCGGAGCATTTCCTGACAGGAATAGGGAGCGACCAATCACGTGTCACGGTCTCCTGGTGGGGGCTCGTCCACTTTACACAACAGGAAGTGACCACAGATCTAAGAAGAATTTTGCAGAAGGTGTAAAATAAAGACAAATCGGTGGTTTATTATGGTGTAAGGTTGTCAAAAGTAGAGAAAATCTGATACTGATCAAAACTAAAATTGAAACTAGATACTGATTTGAGCAGGTATCGATACTAAAAAAGTCACATGAACCTTTCTAGAAGCTTTAGAATGATCTTGAGCTGAATCAGAACAAGTATAAGCGGAAATAACGAAAATATCGATACTAAACGAATCCTTCTTTTTAAACCTATGTTACAATTCTTGCCAGAGAGAGAGCTGGGCTGATATAACTATGGGAAATTCAGGCTTTTTTGAAACAGAAAAGCAAATGGAAAATGTTTCGTCTTATTATTTGCACGATTGGGTCCATTTACTCGCCGTTATAATATAATATCAATACATAGTAAAGTTTAATGTGACAATACAGTATCGATATCGTGAGCTGCTGTAACGATATATCACCAAGAGTATTTTTTGGTGTATTTTACTAAATTATTTTGTTACAGTGCTACAGTTTTGTTGTTTATTTCGAGGAAGGAAACTTGTTTATGCGACACATTTGACATTTTCACTGTTTTGATGATTAAAATTGGCGTGTTTCATATGAACTTTGCACATGAAGTGGTTTAATAAAGACTTTTAGTATCACAGCCATGATTTAGCCTTTATTTTTATTTTTTATTGAACCGTATCAAACCAAAAGTGCACAATATTGAGATATGTATCGTATCATGGCCTATGTATCGAGGTATGTATCGTATCGGCAACTTCTTAACGATACCCAGCCCTACCTGGACCACTGAGGGATTAAACAGATATAAGACCACATAGGAATAGAAAAGAAAGTACTCCAATGTAATACTGAAAATCGCATTTGATTGTCTAAATAAAGAGAGTTTTTATCTTATCGTTGTGGTATCGGAATTGGTTTTGAGTTTTGAGTCTATTCCTAAATTTCCTAGCATTGAGAGAGTATAGTTTTATAATCACTGCTATTTAAAGGAAGCCAGGCTGGCGTCCCCTTGTGCCTCCACTCACTTTCATTTCTCTCCAGCGACCAGGTCAGGAATCAGAACACACTAGACGGTTTGGCAAAACCCCAGACACCGGCCAATCAGAGAAGAGCTGTGAAGCCGCGACGTCAAATTCAAGCGAATGTCTGGGTCCCTTTTATGGAACAGCACAACAGTTTTTGGTGAATTTTATCACGGGGAAAGACGTTATTGTCCTTCTTCCTAAAGGATTTGGCACATTACAAATGTCACGACCAAATAGCAACGATTGGTTAAATAAAAAAAGTACCTGCCTATCGTCGAGCGAACGAATCCTAATGCTGTGAGGTCAGACGGTTTCCACAAAGTGAAGTATGAAATTAAACAGCTCTACCTCACATTTATTCAATTACAGGTGGTTTTATAGGTCAAAAATACAAAAAAAAAAACCCAAAAAATACATTCTGACTGTGAGCGGGGTCACTTCTCCACAGATCTGACCTGTAACTTGGTCTGGTTTGGTCTCCAAGGACATAGACAGAAGTTTTATTAAGTTTTCTTCTTCCCACTCCTATTTGGGCCAATTTTTTATGATTTCACAAATGTTATATGTTCCTTTGTCTAAAAATGTAAATCTCTTACTTGCCCAAAATAAATACATAAATAAAAAGATTTAGTACCAGGCTGTGAAACATACCAGACAAAGCAATAACATCTCCATGGAGACAAGCTTTTGACAGACCAGAAAAGTTACACAATGCACCTGAACTCACGACCACACACGGTTTTTCTGGACTGGCTGTAGATCTCTTCACTAAAAAGATCCAAACTGATCATCGACGTTAAGATCTCAATCCGTTTAAGTATTGATTAATTTCCTGGTAAATGGACGGCAAGTGGCCAACGTAAAGAACATAAAGACCGTTAATTCAGAATTACAACTGAGCGCTTCCATTTTGTGGTTCATTACACAGCCCATTCACTTTTAGTGCAAAACCTGAACCTCAATTTACGAGATTAAGACCTTTACAGTTTTAGAAATGAACTGATATATCGACACAGTATCTGAACGCCGTCTTCAGAATACAAAAAAATTAAATGAAAAATGATTTGACTTCTGTGAATATGATCTATACCTTGAATATCTGTAAGTCCTTTTCATTATCGGACATGGTATTTGATTTCTCTGCGTGCAAACAGAAATATTAAAGGTCCTATAATACGTAAAATTGACTCTTGTGAGCTTTAAGTCGTGTTATAATGTTGTTTCCTCCTCAAAAACAGACCTGGGGTTGTGTTTTGTTTCATTCACACATGTTTGAGTAAATTTATTATCAGTCTGTCTACATCTCCAAAGCTCAAAATGCTCTGTTCCACCTTGTGATGTCATGAAGCGTTAGTTTTCAAGTTACCTTTTACCTTTAGATCAAGAGAGATCGTCAATTCCTGGGCTGAAATTGTCCAAATGATTCTAGTGAAGGCGAATGGAGTGTAAAAACAAAGCGGAGCACTTCCTGTATTACCACATGACATCACAAAGTGGAACTGAGTGTTTTCTGTTTGAGAGAAGAAGATTAGACCTTTTTCACAATGATCAGAAGTGCCACGATGTCGAGTAAACGTCAATCCCGGTTAATGCTTTTCTCCGAGTGGATTCGCGCTCTGGATTGTGCGGCGCGCAGTCCTTTTTTGATGCGGTTGGAGGCTTAAGAGTGCCCCCTATAGTGCGGAAAATACGGTACTTATGTTTTATTCATGACCATAACATTAGTTTTGTTCAGTAGTTCACCAACGCGTCATTGTTGTTTGCTTTTACGTTTTCATCTTTCTTTCCTTGATAGTTGTGGATAAATTCTTCATGGTAGAATGTAGGGATGGGCATGATTAATCGATTAAACAATAAGAATTTCATTGATTACGTTAATTTTAATCGACAAACCGAATGCAGGTTGCTGTGCGTAGCCTGACCAAACAGAGGTCCGTACTTGTGTCTCTCACTCAGAAGGTTCTGTACAAGAAATACACTTTTGTACAAGAAATGTCACATTGTTGCGTTCCAGGTGACAAGTCTGTGTGACGCAGGTCAGCATAAATGGTCACATGTAAAGTCCACATGGTGGAAAAAATTTCACAGTGTCACAAGAACAGTGTTCTAACACAGTTCAGTCAATGTTGTGTCTGCAAATCTGATGAACACAAGCGACAAACACCAGTGTTGAGTGTGTTTAGAGTTGCATGAATAAACACAGAGAATGAAAGTCTGTGACATTTATGATGTTAGTTTCCCCACGTGATGCATGACCTGTCATCTTCCGGACATTGTGAAAAAAAATCTATTCTCAGCCTAAACACGCTGGATTTGTGTGTCAAACATGCGAAAGAAACGAAAAATCTGTTCGTGACGAGGAAACAACATTATAACATGGAACAGAAAATAACATAACATGGGCCCTTTAAATGATTCTGGCTTGATTATGCTGAGTTTATCACATTTATGACTGTGTTTTATGTTCAGTAATGTAAATAAAATATAGATTTATTTATTATTGCTCATTTTATTTGATTTTAGACGTTCTTCTGTGGCCTTGTGTTTGTGTTTTTCGTACATACCTTGCGTCAGCTTCACTGTAGTACTCTCTGGCTACGATGTCTTCAAAAAGCTCTCCACCCGTCACCCTGGGACAAATCAAAACGACAAGGAAAAGAGAGGAGGAACGGAGGAGAAGAGACAGAGAGAGAGAGAGAGACAGAGGGAAAGGAGAGAGAAAAGAATGATCGAAAAATGTGACGTGTAACGATGAGACAGGAGAGAGTGAGAAAAGAACGACAGAAAATAATAATACAGAATGAATGTGACACGGAAGGACGAGACGAGACGGGAGGAGAGAGGGAAAGAGAGAGAAAGAGAGAGAGAAGGCAGGAGAGAGTGAGAACAGAGCGATAAAAAATAATACGGGATGAACGTGACGTAGAAGGATGAGACAGGAGAAGAGAGGGAAAGGGCAGAGAGAGAGAAAGAGAGATAGAAAAGACATACGCCACAGGGGGTAAGATAGAGGAGAGAGAAGGAGAGAGAGAGAAAAGGGGGATAATCAGAATAAAACAGATATGACGTTAAAGGATGAGACGAGAGAGAGAGAGAGAGAGAGAGAGAGGGAGTGAAATAGGGGGAGAGACACAAAAGAGAGAAGGAGAGAGAGAGAAGAAGGAGAAGGATGGAGACAGAGAGGCGATAAACAGAATAAAACAGATATGACACAGAAGGATGAGACAGGAGAAAGAGAGAGAGAGAGAGACACGAGAGAGAGAAGGAGAGAGGGAGAGACAAGAGAGAGAGAGAGAGAGAAGGAGAGGAATGGAGAGAGAGAAAGGGGGGACAAACAGAATAAAACAGATATGACACAGAAGGATGACGCAGGAGAAAGCGAGAGAAAGGCAGGGAGAAATAGAGAGAAACAGAGGGAGAGACCAACAGAAGGAGAGAGGGGGAGGGAGAGAGAGAAAGAAAGAGAGGGAGAGACACGAGAGAGACCAAGAGAAGGAGAGAGAGAGAGAGAGAGAGAAGGTGGGATAAACAGAATAAAACAGATATGACACAGAAGGATGAGACAGGAGAAAGAGATGGAGAGAGAAAGAGACAGAGTGAGAGAGAGTGAAAGAGAGACAGAGAAATAGAGAGAGAGAGAGAAAAGGGGGATAAACAGAGGCGCATAAACATAAAATAAACATGACATTGAAGGATGAGACGAGAGAGAGAAGGAGAGAGGGAGAGACACGAGCGGGAGACAGAAGGAGAGAGAAAGAGTGAAAGAAAGGTAGAGACACGAGAGAGAGACAGAGAAATAGAGAGAGAGAGAGAAAAGGGGGATAAACAGAATAAAATAAACATGACATTGAAGGATGAGGCAGGAGAGAGGGAGAGAGCAAGAGAGAGACAGAGAGAAGAGAGAGAGAGAGAGAGCAAGAAAGACAGAGAGAAGGAGAGAGAGAGAGAGCAAGAGAGACAGAGAGAAGGAGAGAGAGAGAGAGAGAGAGAGAGCAAGAGAGAGACAGAGAGAAGGAGAGAGACAGAGAGCAAGAAAGAGACAGAGAGAAGGAGAGAGAGAGAGAGCAAGAAGAGACAGAGAGAAGGAGAGAGAGAGAGCAAGAGAGAGACAGAGAGAAGGAGAGAGACAGAGAGCAAGAAAGAGACAGAGAGAAGAGAGAGAGAGAGAGAGAGCAAGAGAGAGAGACAGAGAGAAGAGAGAGAGAGAGAGAGCAAGAGAGAGACAGAGAGAAGGAGAGAGAGAGAGAGAGCAAGAGAGAGACAGAGAGAAGGAGAGAGAGAGAGAGAGAGAGAGAGAGAGAGAGAGAGCAAAGAGAGAGACAGAGAGAAGGAGAGAGAGAGAGAGAGAGAGCAAGAGAGAAGAGAGAGAAGAGAGAGAGAGAGCAGAGAGAGACAGAGAGAAGAGAGAGAGAGAGAGAAGAGACAGAGAGAAGGAGAGAGAGAGCAAGAGAGAGACAGAGAGAAGGAGAGAGAGAGCGAGCAAGAGAGATAGAGAGAAGGAGGGGAGAGAGAGAAGGAGAAAGAAGGATGGAGACAGAGAGGCGATAAACAGAATAAAACAGATATGACACAGAAGGATGAGACAGGAGAGAGAGAGAGAGAGAGAGGGATGGAGAGACAGCAGGGAGAGACAGAGAGAAGGAAGGAGAAGAGAGAGAAAGGGAGAGAGAGAGGAGGATAAACAGAATAAAACAGATATGATATTGAAGGATGAGACAGAAGAGAGGAAGAGTGAAAGAGAGAGAGAAGGAGAGAGAGAGTGAAAGAGAGAGAGACAGACACGAGAGAGAGAGAGAGAGAGAAGAAGAGAGAGAAGGAGACAGACGACGACAGAGAGGCGATAAACAGAATAAAACAGATATGACACAGAAGAGAGAGGGAGAGGGATGGAGAGACAGCAGAGAGAGACAGAGAGAAGGAAGGGGAGAGAGAGTGAAAGAGAGGGAGAGACGAGAGCGAGAGAGAGAGAGAAGAAGAAGAGAGAGAAGGAGAAAGATGACGACAGAGAGGCGATAAACAGAATAAAACAGATATGACACAGAAGGATGAGACACGAGAGAGAGAGAGAGAGAGAGAGAGAAGAAAGAGAGAGAGAGAAAGAGAGGAATAGACAGGAGAGACGGAGGGAGAGAAGGAGAGAGAGAGAGAGTAAGATGGATGTGACACAGAAGCATGAGACGGGAGAGAGAGGGAAAGTGGAACGAGGAGCAGAGAAGAGAGAGAAAGAGAGAACAAGACAGAAGAGAAAGAGAGAAGGAGAGAAAGAGAGAGAGAGAAGGAGGGAGAAAGAGAGAGAGAGAAGGAGGGAGAAAGAGGGGGGAGGGGGGGTGATGTTAGCAAACAGCCAAACCGCAGTCACGCTCCCAAATAAAATGTCAGCGTGTGTGTGCAGGGATTTAGCACTTTGCCGGGACTTAACTCCGACCTGCCTTTGCTTATGCGACAAAAATCGGGTCGCCATGACGATCCGGGGTTCCCACAATGCCCCGGGGCGACTGCGTTTAGGTTTCGGGGGTCGAGGTCGGGCAACGACGACGACGACGGTTAAAGCTCCCGTATCTTGATATTTCCCCCCCCCCCCCCGAGAATTTGATAAAAACTTGTCTCGAGGTCAAAATAAATCTGCTTACTGTAATCAGGAAGTGTGTTTGCATGCTAGTTGTTGTTGTTGTTGTTCGCTTTACCGTCACTGCAAAACTCACTTCCAGAGACACGTTTATGTAATTATCATGCTTTATTTGACACCGGTCTCGTTATTTTTGCTACTTATTTTGAATTTATGAATATATTTTTGCTCTTCGTTATTGTGATATTTTGCGATTTGTACGACGGAGTATAAGGGTCAGATAAAAAAATTAATAAATGCTGCCACTACGAGAATAAAGTCGTAACATTTTGACATTAAAGTCGTAATATGAGAATAAAGTCGAAGCCAGAAAAAGTCGTAATTTTATGAGAATAAAGTCGTAGTCAGAATAAAGTCGTAATATTAGGAGAATATCGGCTGCTCGGAAAGTCTGAACGAGTGGAGAATGGAGAATTTGGAGCATTTTCTAAAGGAGAAAAATCCGTGTATCATTCGTTCATTCGACTGAACAAGGACTGAATCAAGTCTGGAACCAAACCAGAAAGACCAGTTCTGAGACCGGGACCAGACGAGGACTGAAAACGGTTTAATCCTAGTTTCCAGTAGACCTGGTTTAACTCACGGAAATGGGAAATGGTGTTTACGTGACTTTAAAATGCGATACGGGAATATTGCGCCGCATACGGACTGAACCAAGACTGAACCAGGACTAAACGTATTCAGTTCTTGTCTGATCCCGGACTCAGTCTTGGTCCCTGACTCAGTCCTTGTCTAAGTTCTGGTCTCAGTCCCGGTCTGGTCTCGGACCTGGTTCAGTCCTGGTTTAGTCCTGGTTTAGTTCTGGTTCAGTCCTGGTTTAGTCCTGGTTTAGTCCTGGTTCAGTCCGGAGGCGCAAATAATGAAGAAAATTGTTGTTTGTTTTCTTATTTTTAGTTTTATATTGAAAAACAAGGTTCTTCTTCTGCCGCATTTTTCACTTTGACTTTGATTTTATTACGACTTCATTCTCGTAATATTATAACTTTATTCTCATAATAATATGACTTTATTTTAACTTCGACTTTATTCTTGTAAAATTATTACTTTATTCTCGTAAAATTACAACTTTATTCTTGTAAAATTACGACTTTTTCTGGCTTCGACTTTACTCTCATAATATTACGACTTTAATGTCAAAATGTTACGACTTTATTCTCGTAGCGCCAGCATTTTTTTTTTTTAATCTGACCCTTATACTCCGTCGTAGATTTGTGAGCTGCTGTGTCCAAATAATTTCCCTTGCGGATCAATAAATGAATCAATCAACGACCGCGAACCATTTGGAAAGAACTGTTTTTGTATTTCACGTTTTTTAAAGACTGTAAAAATAAGGTACGGCTGCTTAAAGGTTACGATAGGCGAGTTTCATTGTTGACAAAAGCGCGCGTTGCATGCTGGGAATTATTTTGGTCGGCGGCAAGAAATACTAATTCGACATGACGGACGGAGCGAGAAAGCACGTAAAGGGTATTGATCCCGGGTATTTATCCAGTCTAACGGCAGAGGACCCAAGACCATTTGGACGCCAAACAGGGCTGGGTATCATTAAGGAGTTGCCGATATGATACATACCTCGATACACAGGCCACGATACAATACATACCTCGATACAGTGCACTTTCGATTCAATATGATATATTTCGAATCGATTCGATACGGTTCAATAAAAAATAAAGGCTAAATCGTGGGTGACACTAAAAGTGTTTGTTAAACCTCTTCTTGTGCAAAGCTAATATGAAACGCAAACATTTTAATCGTCAAAACAGTAAAAATGTCAAATGTGTCGCATAAATGAGTTTCCTTACACTCCACAAGCAAAAAAACTGTAGCGCTGTAACAAAATAATTTAGTAAAACACACCTAAAAATACTCTTGGTGAAATATCGATACAGTAGCCCACGATATCGATACTGTATCATCACATTAAACAATACGATATATCAATATTCTGATATTTTTGCACACCCCTATTCAACCCCAACAAAAGGTGGACAAAACCAAATTTCTGGTCAGAATCGCCAACTACCTGGACAAATATTCACTTCGGCGACATCCACAATGACTTGGTGGAAACTCCTGGGCCATTCACAGCAGAAAAGATGAAAACCTCCAAGAGTCTCGATGTGTTGTTGAACTTGTCGAAGTCCACGGTTTGTTAGGATCTTCTACGTTTGCTCTGCGAATGTTTGAAAGACGTTTAATTCGCCGTTAGCGGTTCTTTTCACTCGGAATACGGAAAAGACATTTTCCTTCTTCCGTGCTTCTATTTGTGCGTCCGATAATGCAGCAGAAATTTACCATTATCGGGGATAAATACGCGAGGTTACGCACTGTGTTTGACCGCTACCGTGTTTCTTGCCTCCGACCAAAATATTTCCCAGCATGCAACGCGGGCTTTTAATAACAATGACGTCAGCTGAAACTCGCCTATTGGGCTCCAGGAAATGAACGAAAGCCAATGTAATGTTCAAAAAAAGCAAAGAAACTCCACGTGTCTCTGTGTATTTGTGTTTGTGTGTGTGTGTGTGTTTGTGTGTGTGTGTGTGTGTGTGTGTGTGTTTGTGTACTCACAGGTCAAAGACGAGGTAGTGAAAGCCCTCCTCTGAAATGCTGTCATGGAGCCTCACTGTGGAGAGACAGAAGAAAAGGTTAAAAATCTGACACATTCTGACGAGCGCCGCACAATGTATCACAATTAACTCACAATTACCGTATTTTTCGGACTATAAGGAGCACCGGATTATAAAATACATTAAACGAAACAAACAAACAACACTTCAGACTGATCCCTTAGCCCAGGCGTCCACGATTCATACATGCATCCTGAATTTCGGACTTCCGGCCATCGCGCAATGCACATCGGGGAAGGGAACTCCGAAAAAGTGAGCATCAAATCGCCATGTTTGTTTTCCCAGTGGGATGGGTCTATTGACAAAGCCGATCTTTTCAACTCTTTCTGAACAATATCACTTTTGTTTCTGGTTCTGATGTTGTCATATTTTAGTTACGGGATTCGGACGTCGGAATTGTGTGGTTGTTGGATGGCGCTCCACTTACAAAACGTTCACTGCAAACGTCAGATGATTTCTTAGGCAGTCAGTCTTTTTGGTCCTTCTCTGAAAAAACAGCTCGGTCCTCGTGCTGCTGATGCGGTTCAGCTTCTGTCGAACTAAAGGACACGACTCACTTACTTCGCAAGACAATCCATCAAGCGGTGCGGCTTCGTAGCTCACAAAAGTCGTACTAAAACTTTTTGACAGATTTTTGAGCGCCGTGTACCACATAAAATCGGTTCAAGGTCACTAAGCACAACCAGAATTAATACATAAGGGGCACTGTCGATATATGAGAAAATTAAAGGACATTAAGTGCGCCTTATAGTAAATCAAAATCGCAGTTTGAGTAAAAAATGTAACATTCGGAACAGAACAATATAGAAGTGTCTTGTTGTATCACAGACTGTAAAATGGACCCGCAAGCCGCTGTGTTCCAAATAAAACAGCAAAAAATTTAAAATAATGCTAATTGAATCTGTGTATCATTTCATTCTTTTTGTTTTTCAAAATAAAACCAAAACAAAGAAAACAAAAAAACAACTATTTTCTTCATTATTTGTCTCCAAAACCAAAATGAAAAAAACAGATAATGATTCATTTTTTCATTTTTTTCGATTTTGTATTTAAATGAAAAATGGAAAAAATGGGTAACGGCCGTTTCCTGTTTCCGTGACTTAATCTGCGATGCCGGACTGAACCTGGACTGAACCAGGACTAACCCAGAACTGAACAAGGACTGAGTGTCAGGACGGGCCCGGAGGTGCGCCCACGTAGACTGTCGGATGACCAGGACTCGGACTGGGACTCGGACTAGGACCGGGACCGGGACTGGGACCGGGACGGGGACCGGGACTGGAAACAGGACTGGGACCAGGACTGGGACCAGGAATGAAACTAGGAATGAAACCAGGACTGGGACCAGTACTGGGACCAGGAATGAAACCAGGAATGAAAACAGGAATGAAAACAGGACTGGGACCAGGACTGGGACCAGGAATGAAAACAGGACTGGGACCAGGACTGGGACCAGGACTGGGACAGGACTGGGACCAGGACTGGGACCAGGACTGGGACCAGGAAGAATGAAACCAGGAATGAAACCAGGACTGGGACCAGGACTGGGACCAGGAATGAAAACAGGACTGGGACCAGGACTGGGACCAGGAATGAAAACAGGACTGGGACCAGGACTGGGACCAGGAATGAAACTAGGAATGAAACCAGGACTGGAACCAGGAATGGGACCAGGAATGGGACCAGGACTGGGACCAGGACTGGGACCAGGACTGGGACCTGGACTCGGACCTGGACTCGGACCAGGACTCGGACCAGGACTCGGACCAGGACTCGGACCTGGACTCGGACCTGGACTCGGACCTGGACTCGGACCTGGACTCGGACCTGGACTCGGACCTGGTTGCGTATGCAGTGCAAAAGTCCGGCAACGCAGTTTAAGTCACAGAAACGGTAAAACGGCCGTTATCCATTTTTCCCATTATTCATTTAGTTGTTTTTTCGTTTTCTTATTTTTGCTTTTATTTTGAAAAACAAATGAACGAATGACACACGCACTGAATCGCAGTATTTTATAAAAATCAGCTCAATTTTGATTCCAAAATCGTGCAGGCCCATATCAAACAAAAAGTGCTGTCCAAATACAAATTACAGCAAAATATTTTTAAGAACATCTCACTGACACGTTAACGCTTTGCCTGGAATGTTCCGCAGTGTGAAATTAAACGCAGGGACGACTTGAAGGTCAGATCTGTGGAGCGGCAAGAACACGCTCAAGAATCCATCCAAGAATATCAAAATCGAGACGCATTTTGAGTATTAAAAAACACAGCAATATAAAGTTAAAAGATAAAGTTTAATGCCATACGGTGGAACATTACAGCCCAAGCAATGACATCTCCGTGGAAACGATAAGGAAAAATTGCAAAGCGGACCTTGAAAATGCTTAACTTTGACTTTACTCGCGCTGTATTCATGTCTATCTCGGAGCGTTAGGGGAAAACAAAAATAATCGCTGAAGCATTTTTCACGTGGAGCTGTGCACTGTCCTATTTCACAAACATGGAGTCACTTGCCAAAGCATCTTGTTCATAAATAATTTGGTGCTGGAAAATCAAACACGTGTGAATAAAACAAAACAGCCCCGTGTATTTTGATGAGGAAGACTCGTACCAATAACGAAACTCAATTCTGAATCAAACGAGTTTATGGTTTTGACAAAGCGACTGAGAAAACAAAAGTAAAACACGACGAATAAAAACAAGTCGATTTGGTGTAATGTAGGTCAAATATACAGTGTAAGGACTGAACCAGGACTGAACCAGGACTGAACCAGGACTGAACCAGGACTGAACCAGGACTAACCAGGAAACCAGGACTGAACCAGGACTGAAACCAGGACTGAACCAGGACTGAACCAGGACTGAACCAGGACTGAAACTGAGGACTAAAACTAGGACTGAAACTAGGACTGAACTAGGACTAAACAGGACTGAACCAGGACTAAACCAGGACTAAACCAGGACTGAACCAGGACTGGAACCAGGACTGAACCAGGACTGAACCAGGACTGAACCAGGACTGAACCAGGACTGGACTAAACCAGGACTGAAACCAGGACTGAACCAGGACTGAACCAGGACTGAACCAGGACTGAACCAGGACTAACCAGGACTGAACCAGGACTAAACAGGACTGAACCAGGACTAAACCAGGACTGAAACCAGGACTGAAACCAGGACTAAACAGGACTAAACCAGGACTGAACCAGGACTGAACTAGGACTAAACCAGGACTGAACCAGGACTGAACCAGGACTGAACCAGGACTAAACCAGGACTGAACTAGGACTGAACTAGGACTAAACCAGGACTAAACCAGGACTAAAAAAGGACTAAACTAGAACTGAAGCAGGACTGAAGCAGGACTAAAGCAGGACTAAAGCAGGTCTACACCAGGACTAAATCAGGACTAAACTACGACTGAAGCAGGTCTAAACACGGTATAAACCGGGACTAAACTGGGACTAAAACGGGACTAAAATGGGACTAAACCAGGTCTGAACCAGGTCTGAACCAGGACTGAACCAGGACTAAAACAAGACTAAAACAAAACTAAAGCAGGACCGAACCAGGACTAAAACAGGACTAAAACAGGACTGAAACAGTACTGAAGCAGGACTGAAGCAGGACTAAACCAGGATTAAACCGGGACTGAAACGGGACTAAAACAGGACTAAAACGGAACTGAACTGGGACTGAATCAGGACTGAACAAAGACTAAACCAGGACTAAAGCAGGACTGAACCAGAACTAAAACAGGACTGAGAACAAAACTGTGTCGAGTTGGGCCCAGAGGTGCGCCCGCGTAGACTGTCAGGTGACCGCAGAAGAAAAGACCACCGCAGATCTGGTTTAGATTTGGTTTAGACCTGGTTCAGTCCTAGTTCAGACCTGCTTTAGACCTGAGATATTAACAAATCTTTTTAAGGTCAAATTACGGTCAGCCGGCCCCACAGGAAGCGTAAAAATGCTCTAAAATTACACAGTTTGGTATCAGTGGTTTGTGGTTTTTGCTTAGTTTCTGTTTTGTGCTGCAAAAAGTTTCGTTTGTGCTTTTATGGTTCTTCGCTATTAGTTATTTTCGGCCAACGGTGTCATCCCGCCCCCTTGAATATGTTAAAACGTGCTAAAAAAATGGCAAACTATTGTTGTAAACTGTTTTGTTTGTGCCGTTGATATTTTACTTTTTGCATTCATATTTTAAGTTATTATTTACATTTTGTCAATTCCTCTTTTTCACTGACCAAATTTCAAAACTTTTCCATGACCTAAAGTGAATTTCCCATGACTTTACGGCACTTTTACTTCTAAATATGAAATGTTAACTCTTTCCACTCACCTTATGGTTTGGTTTTATAGTTTACCATTCAAAATACTGTCAGTGCATTTATTGTCGTCTCTTTTAAACAAAAGGTGCAGACGTTCAGAAATAATCATAATAATAATTGAATAAAAAATAAAAAATATTTGAAATATCATGATATCGTATCGTAAAAAGTCTCTCAGTAACATCGTGGGCTGTCACAATATATCAAATCACAAGTTAATTTGCTTAAATGCAGGTTTTATAGTAGTAACAGCTAAAAAACATGGGGAACTACATATCCCATGATTCCTTTCAGCACAGACAACGTGAAGAAATACCGTATTTTCCGCACTATTAGGCGCTCTGGTTTATAAGGCGCACTGTCATTAAATGGTCTATTTTTGAACTTTTTTCACAAATAAACCGCACTGGACTTTAAAGGAAACACAACAGTGTGATGGGTGAGTGGTTTTGTTTGTTTGTTCGTTCACGGTGACTCTGGGCTTTGTTCAGTTGTGGCGTGTAGGGAGGTGCTGTCTGTCGCTGGATTGTCGGCGTGTTCGCAGTGACTCAGTTGTTCAGTCGTGTCTAGAAGCGGCACGTTGCGCTCGCTTTTTCGGTTCGTTCCTCCGTTCCGTTCCTCGTCGGCGTGGAGTGATGAGTGTGTCTGTGGGTGTTTGTCGCCGTC